GGTCAATGAAATTTGTTTCTAACTCATTATTATAGCGTGCAGTGCCAAAAAATAAATGTGTGTCGGCTTGAATGACCTTTGTCTTGGCGAGTTTTAGCTGGGATTGGAACCTGGGTCAACCACATGGACCATGGCGCGCCGAGATATTCAACAAAGTATTTAGAATTCTGGTAACAAAAATAATGTATGGACTTATCAAAATGAATTTAATCAGTTGTGACAATAAAATGGTATACAACCTGGGTGGAACTCTTTGTAGCAAACAGAGACTTGGACAAACAAATAATAACAAAACAAAACAGCCACCGACCAGTAATACACAGACTGACACAAAACAAAACAAAAACGTTTTTTTAAACAAAGCATCCACAGACCAGCTGAAAGTTGCCAAGTCCTGTCGAGCCAGACACAAAGAAGTTTCTTTGGCCAGGCCTACTCTCTGCCAGCCAGTTTGGGCTGAGGGAGCATTTTTAGCCTCCTTTGATGGATACAACAAGCCCGAGAGCATAACCAACTTTATGTGGGCAATTATGGGGTTTTTTTTCCTCCTGTGTGTGTGTGGGGGGGGGGAGGCGGGGCTAAGAGACTCAAGAGACATAAGCTACATGGACGCAGTGGTGACCATTTAGATCTTGTGTTGGGGGGGAAAAAACAAGCTAGTCGGACTGAAACAACAGCTGGAAAGGAAAGAAGCATGACCATTCTGTGGTGTCCTCTGATAGGACTAATTAATTATGGTAAATAAAAGGCTGCTAAGAACTGAGACTAATAGATTTCCACAATGGACAAGGACTGGAAATAAGAGAGAAACGGACCACGTAGTGACAGCGACGTTTTTTGGCACAGGTCTTGTACAAGTTGATACCGCAGTTATTTGAAGCTCCCCTGCGATGTGAGATGTTTTTCCACCTCCGTTTCATTTCGTTTGAGTTCCTTAAAAAATTTCCTGTACTGCCAGGACCATCCAACTGTCCGTCAGGGGCATTCCTTTGGTAACATGCTTGGCTGTAAACGTGGAACTGAGTGGTTCGAATTCCTAACAGAACTTTCTTGAACCTGGGTTGTTTAGGAAATTTTCACGGCTCTCTACGGACTTGGCTTGGGCATACCGGATAAGGCCATTAAGAATAAATCGATATCGCATTCTACTACACTGTAAAAATATATACATGTACATGTATTATGCTGCTATTGGTAATGTTTCTATTATTGTTACTGAGTGTTAGGCCTACAGTCATTGTACCGCACTGTACTGTACTACATACATTATGTTTCTCTTTAATAATCATTTTCTCTAGCAGGTCAAGACCTTGTCCAGACTTTTCATGACGCTAAACCTGTTTCGCTATTGTCGAGGTAATCTTCTTTTTTTTTTTTAAATGACAACGTAACTGACAAGCACGACATCCCGTGCTGACAGTGATAAGGGCGGTAAAACGCAAAGCATGTTTGGTGTGGCCTTAACATTTACGCGCATCGTCAAGAATCATTTTAAGCTTTGGCAAGGCCTACAAGACTTTAGTAAGCTAAATTGGAAGTCACATTGTTTGCTCTGGAGTCTGTACTTGAATTCCACTCTTTACATGTCAGTCTATAACCTGTCCTACAAATAGCATGCTCTGAATAAATTTCAAAAGCTCAGGGCCAGACCATTGCATCTGAAATAGATCTACCCTCTTTAAACAGCAGAAAATCTTTTTCGACACTGTGACTGTTACATCAAGAGGGACAAAATGTTTCCTCTATGAGGGGTTTGTTTTAATTAGTCATGTTTTAAAAGGAATCATCTAAGCTACGTCTGTTTGTTTTGTTTTAGCGTTAATGCCGTGACTTTCTGGCCCTCTTTAAAACGTACTTGAACACACACACACACACACACACACACACACACACACACACACACACACACACACACACACACACACAGAAG